CTATTAAGGTTATTTCCATCCTAATTATACTTATAATTCAAATTATGATAACCCACATTCATTATTTTGCATTTTTATAATTAAAACCCATCTGCCATTTATTTGCCCAACTCATTAAATGATCTAAATCCTTTTGTAAATCAGCAACATCCTCTTCACAGCTAGCAACACCGAATACTTTAATGTCATCTGCCAGTTTAAGTAATTTATTGACTATCCCTTCATCTATGTCATTGATGTAAATCATAAAGAGGAAAGATCCTAAGACTGAGCCCTGAGGTACCCCACTTGTGACATTAATCCAGTTATTTTGTTTAATGGTAAACAAAATAAATACCTCAAATTTGTCAATAATACAAATGGTATTGGTTTTACTTAAAGATCCGCAACAATCTTACTGTCGTTATCTATAGTTATCATAAAACAGCAGAAAGCTAAAGGAAGCTAACCGTCATGTTTATAGTGTTGTGAGATATTAAAATCTATTAGTGTCTTTATGTTTGTAGAGTTGATACAATAGTGTAAAAAAATAACCACTTTTCCTCTCTATGTAGATTTGTTACAATACTTTAATAATACAACTGTTGTTTCGATATAACTTTGAGTCAATACAATACTGTAAAAACATAACCACTTTTTGCCTCTATGTAGACTTGTTACAATACATTAAGAATACAACTATTGTTTTGACATAACTTTGAGTTAATCAATACTGTAAAAACATAACCGACGTCCCTCTCTATGTATATTTGTTCCAATACTTTAAGAACACAACTGTTGTATATCAACATAGTTTGGAGTTAATACAACACTATAAAAACATAACCGACGTTCTTTTCTATGTAGACTTGTTACAATACTTTAAGAGTACAACTGTTGTATTGATATAACTTCAAGTTATTACAATACTGTAGAAACATGACCATTTAATTTCTATAGTGACGAGTTGTTACCGTATAGTAAGATTACAACCATTACATATTTCTGGTTTCGTATTATGGTAACACATTACCATTTTTAAGTATATAGTGTTACTTTAGAACAGCACAGTACAAACATAATTGTTGTGTATTTATAGTGTCGGCCCAGCATGGCAAGGTTGTTAGGGCGCTCGACTCACAATTTGTGGGTCGCGGGTTCGAAGCCCTGTCCCACCAAAAATTTTCGCCCTATCAGCCGTGGGGGCGTTACAATGTGACGGTCAATCCCACTATTCGTTGGAAAAAGAGTAGCCCGAGAGTTGGCGGTGATGACTAGCTGCCTTCCCTCTGGTCTTACACTGCTAAATTAGGGACGGCTAGCGCAGATAGCCCTAGTGTAGCTTTCCACGAAATTCAAAACAAACAAACATTTGAATCATTATTTTTTCGTACCGTTTTTATGATTTTTTTTTCATTATTCTTCAGTCCTTTTTGTTAAACAAAAAACTTGTAAAATATACACTAACTTTACCTAAACTTTCTCGTTAAATAAATAAGATAAAAACTGACAAATATACACAACCTACAAATAACTTAATAGACACACCTAAGAATACACTTTGGCTATTGATTGCTTTCACATCATATGCAAATAACCCGGACGTATAAATACAGATGTATATTGGTAACGACGAGAGAATAGAAACAGTCGTACTAGGAGTGAAAACATCCTGAGAATTAACCGTATTTCTAAGAGGTCATATTATTGGATGATGGGAGAGAAATACAAATGGACGACAATTCGTCAGGGCACTTGGTAACGACGAGAGAATAGAAACAATCGTAATAGGAGTGAAAACATCCTGAGATTAACCGTATTTCTAAGAGATCATATTATTGGATGATGGGAGAGAAATACAAATGGACGACAAATCGTCAGGGTACTTGCGATACCGCAGGCCACAGCAATGAGATTGACAACAAAGTGCCAGTCACACCAGAAAATAAACGATTATGCCTGGTACAGACACCCAAAACCAATATATCGGACTATTTTTGCTGTGAGAAGAGGTGCTGAGAATGATCGATGTCAAATGGCCGATACACCTACAAATATGTCCAAATATCATTAGGAATTATCTTCTTGTAATGGCCTAAAGTGGTAAATTAGCTAGACAGAATTCATTCCTCAGTTCGAGCAATATTGTATGTCGACAGCATTGGGTATTGCAGATGCTTTCGCCCCTCTTACCTTTCTGGACAAATTAATGTTTTTCAACGACTCTAGATTTCGACAATTTTCGGACGTGAACGCACCTGGATATGGAGTGTATCTTTTTAGGAACTTTTATTGAACTGCCTGGAAACTATGATAACCTGGCGGTATTTCTTTTATAGCGTGGGTAAAATTTGGGCAGGTAGACGATATCAACTGGTGGTATGTTAAGGGGACGGTTGCCGATGCCTGATAGATCATAAGCTGTAAGCAAGATTTTCTATTTGTCTACTACACCAGTGATCAGTTTGCCAGGTAAGATTGTCTTTATGCAAGCTGGGGTTTATGGTCATTCAGACAGAGTTCCAAAGTGTTAGCAGGAAGATCAAGCCATCACCAGTCTTCCCATAACTAGATCAATTATTGAATATCCACCCTATTGAGTGCGTATAGTCCATCTCTGATCATTTCCTGTGAAAGAGTTCCAAACAACAATCAACTTCTACGGAAATCATCAAATTTCTTCGCCAGGAGTGGAGTGCAATCCCACAGTTCCAGATTTAGGATATCACAAGTGCCATGTAAAACCGCTTTTTTTTGCTTTGCATACTACAAAGGGTATCGAAACCCGGTTTCTAGTTGTATAAGTCCGCAGACATACCACTGTGCCACTGAAGGACTACATAGATTAACTTACTAATATAAACACCATATTTAGGAAATCACGCACTAGTCACTTGCCAATCAATAAACATTTTTGTAATTGTGATGAAAGATATATAAAGCTTCACGATTCTAATTTCCAAGTTTTTCTCCTTTTGATTTTGTGTCGAAAAAGTAAGAAGACATACTTAAGGAAAGGTATTTTATTCATTGCTTTTTTATTTAATGAATTGCAGTTCATATCTGGATATTGCGCGAAATTCAAAAAATAAACAAACAAACTATAATGCCGAGTTACTACAGTACAGGAATATAATATTGCTTTCTTTCATATGTCATCGTTCTACATTTACAGTGTCAAGTGATTACAGAACTGTATTTAAGAACGTCTTACACTATGAAAGAAACAAATATTCAGTGCAAGATAGGTGTTAAAAACTCGCTTTTTCGTGAAGCCATACATCCAGTGATGTCAGAGCAGCTTTATGTTTCTTGTTGGTCAAACAATAACTTGCCTTAACGCTGCATGTAACAATCTTCTTTGCTCATATCCAAATCAATAAACCCAAGTAATAAGATTCAAGAAACATCTGCACGGCTTTCTTTCTTATGTCTCTCATTACGCAGAAAATCGATACTAGAAAAATATATTACGAGAACCCCGAAATTAGCCCTCAGCTGAGTTCACACGTGATCAGAACCTCACAAAAACGTTCACGTGGAAAAATGGACAGCGCCATTTTTATTTAAACGAAAAACACAGCTTTCGGTAGAGACTGATACTCTTACTTATTATACAATAATTTTCTAATTAATTAGTAACTAACCTTGTAGCTGGGTGCAGAAAAAAAAATGTAGTTTGTGTATTTGAAATATTGCGTTCAACAAATCACATTGGTTTTACACGCTATTCGTAAAGATTTGGAGCAAAGCTGTATTATAAAAAGAGCCTATAGTGGCACTTCTCATTTTCTTTAATGTTTTTGCACCATTTACACATTCGTGCGTGGTAATCTTTACTCTTTTTTAATTATAATAAAATACTTAATTTAAAACGTTTACGTAAAAAATGGATGTGTTTAAGCTATATGTCAACAAAGTTAAGAAGTTATAATTCAATAAAAAACATAAATCTACGCCAATAGTGTTGCGTGCGTGGGGCCCTCTTCACTCAAACAATTACTTAGAAAAAGAACGAATTCTTAAAAAATATATAAATCACTAAGATTACGTAGAAATAAACTTGTCACGCAAGTAGCAATGATTTTCCAAACCGATAGCTTAGAGATTATTTGAAGATCAAAATGTCGATTAACTCCATGATCGATGATGTACTTACGGGAAGTCTTAACGACCCGAAAGGAAGGGCTGAATGATTCACATTTTCACTGTTCATAATTTGATACTTCTAGCACCTACAGAAAAAAGATGACATGACATTCAAAAACTGGAAGTTGGTTTAATTAAATCAGGAAATTATTTTATTTTTCTTGCAATAACGAATTTCAGAAGTTTTGTAAGTATTTATCAGTGCAGAGGGAAATTGTTATTTCATTTGTTATATTGGATATGTACTTAATAACTATAAATTTTGTAAATAAGAAGTGAAGATTTGTGCCAAAGTAAAAGTAAAGTAGAACTTTTAAATATCACCTAAAGTTTACGTAAGTAAATTCATGTTCAATCTCCGCATCATATGACTCGCTTCTTTGGTTATCATAAATTGTCAGCTTTCTAGAATTTCTAGCAGAAAGCGTTATGGCTTTACCGTTATATTACTATAAGCTGGTTTATCTTGGCATGAAGTTTGGTCACATAGATTTATTCCTTAATTTCCTCTCTAGTGAGTTGGAAGTCGAATTCTCGAGTTCAATTATATTGTATATTAAAAAGAAGATTTATATTTCCTCTATATGACCTGTGTAAATGTAGTTTTATATATACGTTTTTTTTTTGCACTAAACTGATTTCGAATATAAATTAATTTTATCCTTCGTAATTAATATTTTATGTGAAGTTTTTTTTTTTATGGCACGCGCCAAATATATTACCAGCTAGCATTTTTTGGATGAGTATATAACTTCATTAAATCATAGATTGTTATTGTATTGTTTACAGTAAGAAATCAACTATCAGTTATAGCTAGAAAAAAAATCATGGCAGAGTTGTCTTTTCTAATGAATATTTTTCTTTCTTGGTAGGTGGTGCTGGTGTTTTTTCTCAGTATAGCGTCTTTAATAATATATTTTATTGATGCCTCAACGTGAGTATATGTTTTTTTATACGTATTTCATGTAGTGTGGTTTTATTGGTTAACTTTAGTATGTACACTATCTGTAAAGTTACAGACTGCAAATAACAACTAAGATAATAAACACGAATTACACATTGTAATAGTAAGTACTCGCCATGTATTTGCTTACTTTAAGGAGTAGAAGCATAACCTTTAAACTGTTTGCTGCAAACAGTGTTAAGATTAATATACTTTTGCTGTTGCAAGTTTGTCTTTGTCGTTTCCCGAGTATGTTCACGGTATAGCCTTTTCGAAAGTCAACATTTGGCGTCAATTCTATAGCTCAGCACCAAGATGGAACTTCACTGAACCAACTTTCCGATTTTTTTTTGTTAAATTGTGAGATGTTAACTACAAGTTATAGCTCTAACGTAACAGTTTCATTGTTATAAGTTAAAATAAAAGTAATAGTTCTGATAATGTAACATATAGGTCATTGTCTGACTATCTATTTTCAGGCACAAGTTAGTGCGTCATCTTTCAACATATAAAGATCTGTAACAATATTAGGCAATGACACAGAGAATGTTTAAGTTATATGAGACAGAGGATTTTTTAAGGAACACAAATTATATCTTCTCATTTAAACATTTAATAGGGTGTATCAGTTATAAACTTCGAGATTTGGTCAAAGTAAAGTTACTTAGTAGTTTAAAAAATTTATAAAATATTTGAAATATATCACAGAATATCTTGCGTCATATTTTAAAAAGCGTATGATTAACATTTCACCACATTTGAAGTTAAGATCGTAGATATTCATGAAAAAAAATGCATTTTCCTATTTGCATAGTTAAAAGAAATCAAATTAAGTTTTCAGTTCCGAGAAAGGTAATGTTACTGAAACATTTTTCGAATATCTTTCTCTTAATAGTCCTGAAAAATAACTGTCTGTAAATTATGTTATATCTTTATCTAATTGTATCATCAATCATTCAATTCCTTATAAGAAATAAAAATGCAATAATTTTGAATGAACATTTACACAAATTGTATATGAAAACATTGAATATATGATTTATGTATCTATCTATACGTGCACCTTATACGAATATTAGTTAGCATAATGATCTAGGACTAACTTAATACTGACAGCCTGTTGAGATACTAGTGGATTTATGGCCGAAAACACCATTAACACCAAGAATACCACACTATGATAAATAACTACATTTTAAGTGTGTATTATATTTCTAAAGTATTTTGTGGTTTACTTATACCAATTTGTTGTTTTTGTAATGAACCATAATAGGCCAAACAAACATAACCTATATTTCAGTTAAAGACCTACTTCCAGGTAAAGGCTTAATTTATCGCAATATAGTATTATCTTTATTTCTACTACTAATGATAGCTCTAAAATTATTTGCTTAAAATTATATGAATAATTAGGATAAGATCTTTATATATTTTGATTTTAAAACTAATAGAAACTAAACATTTATTATATTTGTATGTCATTTATATTTATATGAAAAATACATGTGTGTATGTATTTTAAACACATTGCTTTGCAAAAAGTACCTGGACATGTAACTATTATATAGGGGTTCCAAGTGATCACTAATCTAGTACTATTTCGGGATTTGATTGAGATGTTTAAGATTATAAAGGACATTTGTAGTGTTGATGCATCATTCTTGTTTTCGTATTCAGTGGTGAGAATAGTAATGCTAGGGAACATAAATATAAATTCTGGCAGGGTAGGAGTCATCTTCAGCTAAGACAGCTTTATTTTTCTAGCAAGACTATTGGCTTTTGAAAGGGATTGCCTTCAAATGTGATAGATGTAGTTAATTTTAGGAAGTTTGAGGGAAGTCTTGATAAATATTTGAATTACAAGGGCTAGCTTTCAGTGTTTTACTTTTATATTAGAGTTTATTATAGTGTACGAGATAGCCTGGATGGGCTAACAGGCCCATTGCTGCTCTTGAACTGTATTTGTTTAATTAGTTATTGCTATTTTGCGAGACAAGCTTTCAACTTCTTTCCGACAAATATTCGGTTACATACAAAAGTTCATCCAGATGAAAGTCTGTGATCTTCCCTTTCGAATTAAACCCTTCTTCTTCTCAGGAAGTGCCAACCCTGCTGTAAATAGTTAATGTTTGGGCTCCTGGCACATCATTCCAAGATACTGATCTTATTATTATGTTGAGATCGTGTATTATTTGCATATGTTTTTTAGCAAAGAATATTATCTGGCTGGAAAAAAAATATTGGCTTGCTGACCAGCAAACACCGTTATGTCTTTTAGAAAGTGGGCATTCATATTATTTTCATATCCTTAACAGACAGATTACCACAGTTGATGATGGAAGTCTCTAATATTTTTCACACCATAACTAGTGAACTTTTTTTACGCTTTGACAGTATATAGGTCAACCTGATGTTTTATTTAAATGTTTTATTATTAAGATCTTCAAGGTGTCAAATGAACTGTCAAAAGACAGTATATTACGCTGAACAACATTGTAACTATTTCAATTATCGATTTTTGATAATTTTCGCACCTTATAATATTTTATCTCTTTAATTTACGTAATGTGTATAATCCCATATATGTTTAGTTGTATATACAAATATATATGTATGTGTATAGAGAGGCATGTGTGAATGTTATCTCTTTAATTTACGTAATGTAGTTATTTACAATACTTTATACTAAACTTATACACAGTAATATACACATTCACACATGCCTCTCTATACACATACATATATATTTATATATACAACTAAACATATATGGGATTATACACATTATATTTATATATACACCTAAACATATATGGGATTATATACATTACGTAAATTAAAGAGATAACATTCACACATGCCTCTCTATACACATACATATATATTTGTATATACAACTAAACATATATGGGATTATACACATTACGTAAATTAAAGAGATAACATTCACACACGCCTCTCTATACACATACATATATATTTATATATACACCTAAACATATATGGGATTATATGTGGAAACGGTTAGGAAAAAGGATATAAAAGGAAACTATTACCAGAATTCCACCCTTTATCATGCGAAACTAAAATGCGCCAGAGTACAGCTACGTGCTCATAGTTTTCATTCTGATTTTTCGTCACCGACCAATAAGAAAGTTACAACAGAATGAAGCCAACAAAAGTATAGACAATTATACTATGACTAATAGCAGTAGTAATGTGTTCCTAGTCGTAAAAAATGTGTTGAAATCAGAGTTTTGGTTGATCAGGGATATTTCATGTAAAAAACTGCGGCATGTTTCAATAGGTTTGTTTGTTTTTGAATTTAAGCACAAAGCTACACAATGGCTATCTGTGCTCTGCCCACCACGAGTATCGAAACCCGGTTTCTAGCGTTGTAAGTCCCCAGACATACCGCTGTGCCATTGGGGGGGGGCGTTTCAATAAGAGTTGCATGCAAGAGTTGGAAAAGGGCACGAATAAACTGTCGCTGTTAATAATTGGAATGGGCGAGGAATGAAACCGAAACGAGTGAAGTTCCAAGACAGAGGATGTTCGTGTACAGTTCTGGTCAATAACACTGTAAATATAGATATAAATGTTACCCAGATAACAGTGAGATAAACTTTAGCACCAAGATTTCTCAATGAACTTGTAACTGGTGGAAAAGCGCTGTTTAGAAGACGTACCCAAAACAAAAGAATGAAATGATCATCGGGTAAAAAACTGTAGAAAGAGCACAGCTAGCGGCCTGTGATATTTACAGACGAATCCAGCTTCGAGTTGTTCGGCAACAACCAACGAAAGTTTGTTCGACAGCGAAAATGAGAACAGTACCATAGTCAAGGTACAACATCTTCAGGGAAGCATGGTGGAGAATCAGTAGAAACGTAGGAATGAATCTCAGCCAACGATGTCTCTAATTTATACAAAACTGATGGAATCATGACTGCTGAGAAGTACAGGTAGATTCTGGTCCATCATGCCATTCCCTCAGGAACACGACTCATGTGGTGAGAAATTATCAAGACAATTACCTTAAGCATACAGTAAGTGTGTTGAAACAATATCTTGACAGTAAAGAGGCGAGTGGAACACCCACAGCCATGACCTGGCCTGCACAAATTCCCGATATGAACATATGGGCTTATGTAAAAAATGAGAAGGTTCAAAAGTGCCCAAAAAAACTTAGCTGAATTGAGAGGGGCAATAAGGACAATTGGAACAATAATCTACACATGTACTTTGATAAACTGTATGGCAGTATTAAAATATACGGATGCTATATTATCTGTAAAGCAAAGGAGGGTTCACATACAAAATGCTAGTGTATTGAACAGTTTATTCGATTTTAATTTGTATTATTTATGATACTTTTGTACCATTATTATAAATTCGTTATTCAGTTACCATTACTCGATGTTAGTGTCTCCTGTATTTGTATCACTTGTGTGATTCCATAACTATTTCCATCAATGTACGTGATGCTTTGAGCTCATCTTTCAATATTAGCATATATATAACAAGACCTTAACAATGTATATATTATAGAAAGTTATAAATAAAATTGTTAGTCGCAATAACTTTGGTGAATTACTACTGGAAATATAAGACACTGTAGAATTATTTAACAGCTATACAAGTAATAAAATAAGTGGTCATGCTGTATATTCAATTTATCAGTAATGCGGCTTTTTTAGTATGTTCCATAGCAAAAAATAAATAAAAAATTTAACAATACTACTAAAACCATATGCAAAGCGTAATAACTCTAAAGGAGTTGTGTACCAAACTTAATAACTTCAATACGTAATATATTGTAACAAAGGACGAAGTAGTAATTTTCTTCTGGACTTTACAAGGCAGTGCTAATTTAAGAGTTAGAGAAAAATATTTTCCTATAGTAATATTTTGTGCGCTAGTAATGTGCAACTTATCTTATATCAAAATATGCAGTAAATAGCTTACTCGCGTAGGCCAATACATAGCCATTGGAAACTCAAACTAAGACAATTGACATGGCCTTCAACTTTTCTTCATTAGGTAAAAACAGAAAATGAGTTTTTTTCAATCGGATTATTTAAATAAATGTATAAACGAAGCAAACTTGATTAACACCGAGGGAATTATTAAATAATAAAACATAAACTTTTCATTTGAATCATTATTTTTTCGTACCGCTTTTGTGATTTTTTTCAT